GAATTCCATTCTTTACTAAAGAAAGAATTTAACAAACAAGTAAAAAAAAAAAAGGTAACATTTAGGGTAGGCAAAATATCTGATATAAGTATATTAATCATTTGATGTCTCAGGAAAGTTGAAAATCAATTCTGTCAATGTGAAGAACAACAGGAATGATTATCTTTGAAGCAGATACAGAAATCAAATGGAAAAATTACTTTTTAGAAAGCGAATTTCCACATACTTTATCCCTTGGTCCCAACCCCTCAGAATAATTCTCCTAGGCAAAGGCAGAAAACCTCAAACAACCTAGGGGAAAATTGAGAAGAATGAACACTAAAGAACACCAGATACTAATCACAAGAAAAGAATCATCTTATAAAACTTAAGGGGGCACCTGGCTGCCTCTGTTGGTAGAATACGTAACTCTTGATCTCAGAGTTGTAAGTTCAAGCCCCATGCTGGGTGCAGAAATTACTTAAAAAACAAAATAAAATTGGGGTGCCTGGGTGGCTCAGTTAAGTAAAATCAAATGCTTAGGTCTAAAATGTATCTAATCCTTGGGGCTCCTGGGTGACTCAGTCAGTCAAGCATCTGACTCTTGATTTCGGCTCAGGTCATGATCTCACAGTTAGTTCATGGGTTCGAGTCCCCCACTGGGCTCTGCGCTGATGGTGCAGAGCCTGCTTGGGATTCTGTCTCTCCTTCTCTCTGCCCCTACCCTATCTCTAAGACTCTCTTTCTCTCAAAATAAATAAACCAAAAAATCTATCTAACCCTTATTAGTTAGGCAGCCTTATGCTCTGTTTCCTCCTAAATTAATTGGGAATAAGAATTCTAGTTATGCATTGCAGGATTAACATGAGGATCAAATGAGATAGTATACGTGTGTGTCATACACATATATATGACACAAAGGTATGTGTGTGTGTGTGTGCAAATGTTTAATCATTACTTTTTATTTTATCTACATAACTGATGACAATCTCTAAGTTGTATATTAACATTCTCCAGTTACTATAGGCATCTTTTCAACAAAGTTTCAAAACAAGGCACTAATCTGCTCAATTTAAACCCACACCATGGAAAGCCTGGCTGCTTTATTTGGACTGAAGGTCTGGCAAAATTCCACTCCAGGTGGCTAAGTAATAATAAACAAGAACTTACTGTTTCATCGCATCCTCACTCATTTTGTGAATGTTTTTCTCCAAATTTAGTGGCTAATTTTAAACTTTTAAAATACTGCTATATTTTCTCCCCCAGTTACAAAACTTTAAAAACCTAAATATGGGTGCCTGCGTGGTTCTGTTGGTTAAGCATCTGACTCTTGATTTTAGCTCAGGTCATGATCTCATTGTCCTGAGATCAAAATTAGGATTCTCACGCTCCCTCCCCATTTGTTCCCGCTCCCTCTCTTGCTAGCTCAAAAATAAGTAAATAAATAAAATATCTAAATACTGAAACAAAAAAACATTTTCAAACTTAAAATTCAAGATATTTAAAGAAAGTTACACCAAGGAGAACAAAATGCAGTAATAAAGTAGAGCACTTCAAGCGATGAAACCATGTTTCTCTACTGGCCCACCCTACACAAATTCTAGCACTGAAAAGGCAATTTTCAGATTTCTGAGAATGTCCAAATATGTTCTATTTTTACTTTTTTTTTTATTTTAGTGAGCATGCACAAGTGAGGATCATAACCTGAGCCAAAAATAAGAGTTGGACACTCAACCGACTGAGCCACCCAGGAGCCCCTGTTCTATATTTTAGTAACAGACATAATTTTTAAGATTAAACACATGCACACAGCAGGTCATCAAATATTTGCAGAATTTAAGACATGTTTACTGGGGCACTTGGGTGGCACAGTCGGCTGAGCTTTCAACTTGAGTTCAGTTCATGATCTTGATCTTGCAGTTCGTGAGCCCCACATCAGGCTTGCTGCTGTCAGCCTGTCAGCACAAAGCCTGCTTCTGATCCTCTGTCCTCCTTTCTCTCTCCCTCCCCTGCTTGTACTCTCTCAAAAATAAACATTTTTTAAAAAGAAATATTTACTAATATTTACTAAATATTTACAATTACAGAACATAAATGAGTTCCCTGATCAATGAACAGAACAGCAGCCAGGAAAAGCTCCCAAAAATCATACAGCATCATACTATGAAGTTTTGAGACCTCACAAATCAGTTTCTGCACAATTTGATTAAAAGATTTTTGAGATAGAATTCACATACCATAAAATTTATACTTTAAAGTATACAATTCAGTAGTTTTTAATATATTCACAAAAATTTGCTACAATCATCACTATCTAATTCTGGAACATTTTCATCATCCCAAAAAGAAACCCCAAGCCCATTAGTAGTTACTCACCATTCCCACCATCCATCAGCCTGTCAATCACTAATCTACTTTGTATCTCCATATGCCTATTTTGGATACATCATATAAGTGGAATCACATAATTTGTAGCTTTTGTCAGTTTGATTAAATCTTACATTTCATTATGGTGTGGTTTCTCTTTTTTTCCTGATTATTAGGAATGATCAAAGCAATGTTACCATCTCTGCAGAAGAAATACTTTAAAAACATAACAGAGATACCCATAAAATAAACACACAAAGAGCAGAAAATTGCACTGTGAGGCTGATATGGAATAACAGGTATAGGCACAATGAATACTACATAAATGAACACACTGTAATCTTGACAACCTTTACTATAAATTTCTGAAACACATGTAATTTTTTAAAAAAATCTTCACCAACATTTTAGCATTTCCAAACTAATAACTTATTATCATAAATTTTAATTACTGTACTCTACTATTAGGAAAAAACACTAAACTATAAAAAATGTATACATATACAGCAATAAAAATCCAAAGAAGCCATAGAAAAAAAATATGCAAATAGTTGTGACATTTAGGTGATGGGAAAATACAGTTTTTGAATGTTTTTAAGTTTGGTGTTTAAGTAATCTCTACACCCAACGAGGGGCTCTATCCCAAGATCAAGAGTCACATACGCCTCCAAGTCAGCCAGGCACCCCTAACCATATTTTATTTTTAATTTAAACATATTATCATTGTCACTTTTTGAAAGGCATTTTTGGGGGCACCTAGGTGGCTCACTCAGTTAAGCATCTAACTTGAGGTCATGATCTCACAGCTCATGAGTTCGAGCCCCATGTCAAGCTCTGTGCTGACAGACTGAGAGCCTGGAGCCTGCTTCATATTCTGTGTGTGCCTCTCTCTGCCCTTCCCCCACTCATGCTGTCTTTCTCTGTCTCAAAAATAAACATTTAAAAAAAAGGCATTTTTAAAATATCTCCAAAACTTTCATGCTCGATGTTTTAAATAGGCAAAAGCAGAAATTTCCCAACTGTTCATGTGAATATGACTACTTTCATATCTAAACTAAGTATATATATATACAATATGGAAAGATGATACTAATACACCATTCAATTAAAAAAGTAATTTGAAGGGGTGCCTGGGTAGCTCAACTGGTTAAGCATCCAACTTCGACTCAGGTCATGATCTCATGGTTTTTTAGTTCGAGCCCTGCGTCGGGCTCTGTGCTGATGGCTTGGAGACTGGAGCCTGTTTCAGATTCTGTGTCTCGCTCTTTCTCTGCCCCTCCGCCACTTATGCTTATGCTCTGTCTCTCAAAAATAAATAAATGTAAAAAAATTTTTTTAAGTAATTTGAAGAACTATATGTATAGCATGATATTAGCCATATGGAAAACAAATACTATGGATTAAGTATGAGCGTGTTTGCATGACCTTTAAAAGGGTCTGGAAATTTAACAGTGGTTACACCTGGAGAATGACTTTCAAAAGAATAAAGGGACATTCATTTTCATTTCACATATTTTTATATTAATTGTCTATGTAATCATAAGAATATGCTACCTTTCATAATTTTTAATCACTATTTTTTTAATTACTTGAAGGTGCCATCAGTTTAGAGTTTTTCTTCTAAAAAGAAATAAAAGTACATTAAATTCAACACCTTATGTTAGTTTTCTTTTTTTTTTTTTATGTTTATTTCTGAGAGAGAGATAGCATGAACAGGGAAGGGTCAGAGAGAGAGGGAGACACAGAATCTGAAGCAGCTCCAGGCTCTGAGCTGTCAGCACAGAGCCCGATGCAGAGTTCGAACCCACGAACCGTGAGATCATGACCTGAGCCGAAGTCGGACGCTTGACCGACTGAGCCACCCAAGGGCCCCTAAATTTTCTTTTTTGAGAGTAGAGGGTGGGCAGAGAGAGAGGGAGAGAGGAAGAATCTTAAGCAAGTTCCATGCCCACCCAGCACAAGGCCAACATGGATCTCGATCTCACAACCGGGTCTCAATCTCATGACCATGGGATCATGATCTGAGTCAATATCAAGAGTCTACATTTAACAGACTGAGCCACCCAGGCACCCCTTTTTGTGTCAATTTTTAATTATCCAAACCAAGGGATAAACTGAACATGGCAGCAAATACCAATAGGTTATATTTGGCTTCCAAACATATAATAGGTTTTTGTAGCTCTTCACTCATAATATACCCCAGAAGAAGCATCTGAGTAGTAACCTAAAAAGTCTACTATGGAAACTTGGCTGTATAATAGTTATTTAGTAAAGATAAACATCACCTTTAGTATTCAGTTTACCCTAACATATCCACGCTTTAACAATCATTGTCAATACATGTGGAACCAGAACTTAATAGCACTCTAAGAGAAGACAGTTACACAGACTAATAGAAAACACAGGTAGCGTTAATTTCAAAAAAAAAAATGAGCCAAGTTGGAAAACATCAAACCAAGTTTTAGAAAAGTGGAGAAGAGGAAGAAATCGGAAGCAATGTCAGTTTCAAATTCTTTCTTTCCTTCCTGATATATCTCATGATACCTCACACCTGAACTACTCAGTGAATTCACCAAAAAGGCACTCTGGGGGCCCACTTGAAATGTGCAAATCAAGCAATGCTATAAGCAGGAAGACATTAAAATGAAGCATACCTTTTCCAAAATGAACTTGTTTAAATACGGCATGTAGCCCTGATTGGAGACTGGCCCCTCATCATCATCCCTGAAGTGCTCTTCAAGGGCAACAGGGTCATGTGGAACCTTCAGCACCGTGCACAGGTTATGAGAAAGGACCTAAGGGGGAAAGAAAGTAGTTTAAAGGAATCCGCTAGCACACGGCAGCTTCACTGAACACAACTGGCTGCTCCCTACCACAGGGAGAGAAACATGGAGACCAAGCCAGCAAGTACAGGATGGGTGCCGCCTGCCTGCCAGCTCCTCACTTGGTTGTTACCTCATTCCCTCCCCAGTTTTGGTTCACTTCAAACACGTCTCTTTTAAGCACGTCCAATGAGCCAGCTCCAAGCAAGGCCTGTGACTATACACAGGAATAAAAGGCATGGCATAGGGAATACAGGCAATGAGACTGTAACAGCACTGTACCGGTGACAGATGGTGGCAACGCTGGTGGTGAGCATAGCATAACATACAGAGAACTTGAATCGCTACTTTGTATACCTGAAACTAAGGTACGTTGTGTATCAACTCTACTCAAAACAAAAATTTTTATCTGTGACTATAATATTCTTTACAGTTTTTATTAATCGACCCACATTAGAAAGAAAAAGGGGGTTAAGAGCAAGAGGATGTTTTCAAAATTAAACTTCTCCCCAAGTAGAGCAGGGTCAGTCACAGACATAAGAGAATGAACGTGGTACTGGGCAGTTGCAGCCGAGGGTTCTGGACAAAGTGACCGATATGAGCCAATCACATTTCTCCGGGCTTCAGTGTTCTCACTTGTTCAATACAAAGGGCCAAGTTAATACACAAATGTACCAAATATTAATCAGCTATCTCTAAGTGTCCAAATATCTCTAAAATTCTACGATACTAAGCTAAGTTTTCACCATAAGTATAACAGAGCATGAATATAAAAAAAGAAATCAAGAGCCTGGTTTAGAAAGAGGAGAAAAATCAATTGTAAAATATCTCAGAAGTCACCAAAATGGTTGAAATCTTTTGTAGAAAATTTGCATTCCATATATAAAGCATTACTGACCTTGGCATAACCTAAGTGCATACTTTTTTTTTTTTTAATGTTTTTTATTTATTTCTAGGAGAGAGAGAGAGAGGGACAGCGTGAGCAGGGGAGGGTCAGAGAGAGAGGGAGACACAGAATCCGAAACAGGCTCCAGGCTCTGAGCTGGCAGTCAGCACAGAGGCCGACGTGGGGCTCGAACCCACGAACCGCGAGATCATGACCTAAGCGAAAGTCGGACGCTTAACCGACTAAGCCACCCAGGCGCCCCCCTAAGTGCATACTTTAACACTCAGGTCGTTCAATTAGCAGTTTGGGCTATCTCAGTACTAACGTCATTTCATATTAAATGAAAAGTTTCAAAATAAAACTTAAATCCCTCCTATTTCATTTGTGCATTCTAAACAGATCAAAATACATAGCTAAGGCTATACTTCCTTCAACAGAGACTCTTATCAGATGGTTAAATCCCAGGTTAAAATATTCTGTATTTTTCTCACCTCTACACATTTGATCACTTGAAGAACCACACTCATCTCTTTGAAGATTTTCAATGCCATTAAGAGAGTAATTTTTTTCTACATACACCTATTACAGATAGGATTTTTTAAGATAAAAAATATTTAACCTATAAAAAGAATATTTGCATATCTTCTCTCTATATTTGTTGTTTCTCAAAGCTTCATTTATGTGGAGATCCTTTTCTACATGCTCTGCTAGTTTTAAGGAAGTAAGTAAAGTAAAGGAAGTAAATTCACAAATGGTAATAAATGAAGTAATGAAGACTTTTATCAGCCCCTACAAAGCAGGCTGTGTTTCTCAAGCAAAACCTCTATTTGCCAATAATAGAGCACATGAAAAGAGCACGGTAGAGCTTTTGCTGAAGAATCTTGCACTACAGTCAGCAAAGACCCAAACAGATACTTCCTTTCACTATTTACCTAGCAAAACCTAGGGAGTAATTATCTACTCCCAAAGAGGTTCTGTGAGGATCAACTTCAAGAATATAGAGTATTTATACATTTTTTAAAACATTTTTTCTTTATTTTTGAGAGACAGAGTGTGAGCGGAGGAGGGACAGAGAGACAGGGTGAAGCAGAATCCAAAGCAGGCTCCAGGCTCCAGGCATAACCTAAGTGCATACAGCCCAGTGCGGGGCTCAAACCCACAAAGAGTGAGATCATGACCTGGGCCGATGGGGGGCTCAAACCCACGAAGAGTGAGATCATGACCTGGGCTGAAGTCAGACGCTTAAGTGACTGAGCCACCCAGGTACTCCAAGCATATAAAGTGTTTAAAAACTGTAATGTACTATAGAAATAGTTTAGAGAAATAAGCAAGTTTCTCAGGTAAGGGTCAAAGTCATTCAAATCATATACAACTTTAATCAAGTAAGAATCTCAACCACTGGTTAAATTACGGTGTGTTCATAAAACAATAAGGAAGCTCCCAGTGCAGTATGAAAAGGTATCCAAAATACATTTAGTGAAAAAAGCAATATACATAAGACTACATATAGTTTACCATCTTTTATGTAAAAGAAAGAAAAAATAAACTCTAAAAGGATATATAAGAAACTAATAACAGTAGGGGAAAGACTAGCTTGATAGTAGACCAGGGATAGAAGACTTTTCACTGTGCCTCTCTTTTTTTTAGGTTTGAAAAAAATTTTTACCTAGTCAAAAGTGTTCTACCTACTTAAAAATTACACATGTATTTTTTAAAAGTGGCTGACCTAAGATCATACAGCTAAATCTATTTATCTTTGAAGTCTATATTTTTTTCTTCTACATTAACCTGCTCTCCAGAAATTAGGTATAAAAGGAAGACAAATTCCACAGCAATGTAGCATGATTAACAGATGAGTGAGAAGGTCAATAAATGAGTTCAGAAAGGAAAAACAATGTGTGCTCAAGTGACTTCACAGAGGATGTGAAATGTAATCTAGGTCTTAAAACAAAGAGAGCTTTTAGGATAGGAAAGAGCAATTTGAAGGCTTTCAGATAGGGGAATAACATGAGAAAAGTCGATCATTAATGCAAACTCTTCAGGGGACCAAAAAAAAAAAAAAAAGACACCAATGTCTCCCACACCTCCTTTGCTCTACTTTTGAGTTTCACAGATCTTCCAACTAAACAGGGTCTTTGGATGCCATATTGTCATCCTTCTCATCTGCTAGGTGGGTCTTTGGACGCCGTATTGTCATCCTTCTCATCTGCTAGGTGGTAAGTACTGGCTCAAAGAGATAAAATGTGTTTTTTTTTTTTAAATAGGGTATTTAACAGAACTGAGACTAGATCTCAGGTTTTGTAATACCTGGTCCAACACTCTCTAGTAATAAGGAACATCATGGTTTTAGTTCTCTAAAGTCAACAATGTTCCTTGTAGGTGTAAGGGCTTGGTTCAAATCAGTGATCCCACTAAAGATTTAGTTTTGATATCTAGACTTCAGCCTTGGACAATTAAACAGCATTTTCATGAAATAAAGGGATAGTTGAATTCAATGACAATTTTCTTAACAGCCTTTATCTTTATTTAAACAATTGTGAGGGAGACAGGACTTAAGAGTAACAAGGCCCCTAGAGGAGACCTAAGCACAGGCCTGCTGGTGCACTGTGTTCCTGTTCAGTGGTTTGCCACTTGCTGTTTTATAATGGTTTAATGTTTCGCTGTTTATTTGCTCAGTCTCAGTAACCTCACTGCAGAATAAGGTGTTAAACTTGCTTCTAACAAAAAGAATTTTTAAGCCTAATCCTTAACTGTCAACCAAATTCATTTTATGAATTTGGCAAAAAGAACTACAATTTTATCAGAAATTCAGCTTTTTTCACTGTTAATATGGCCTAGAATAGGGAAGTCGTCTTCAAGCAAAATAACGAACTACATAATAGATAAATGAAAAGGTTTTGTTACTGAAAGAGAAATAATTATAGGCTATCTTTAAACTTTAAAAAAAAATTTTAGGGGTGCCTGGGTGACTCAGTCGGTTAAGCGTTCGACTTCGGCTCAGGTCATGATCTCACAGTTCATGAGTTCGAGCCCAGCGTCGGGTTCTGTGCTGACGGCTAGCTCAGAGCCTGGAGCCTGCTTAGGATTCTGTACCTCCCTCTTTCTCTGAGCCTCCCCTGCTCACACTGTCTCCCTCTCTCTCTCTCTCTCTCAGAAATAAAAACATTAAAAAATTTTTAAAAATAAAAAATTAAAATTAAAAAAAATTTACCAGCAATTTTTTAAAAGCCTAGACAGTATCTCAAGTTTCTTTTAAACAGAAAATAAAACATATAAAGAAATCAGAATCTTTTTTTTTTTAAATAAACTTTTTCAATGCTTATTTATTTATTTTGAGAGAGAGAGAGAAAGTAGGGGCAGAGATAGGAGAGAGAGAATTCCAAGCAGGCTCCATAATGTCAGCACAGAGCTCAACATGGGGCTCAATCTCATGAACTATGAAACCATGAGTCAGACACTTAACCAACTGAGACACCTGGGCACCCCAAAGAAACCAGAATCTTGAAGGCCAGAATATAAATTACTAACAAGAAGTAAACACTCCATAGGTTTATACAGTTTATTATGCTCTTTAAAGTAGACTCATCTTATCCGTCAGCTGGTTTTAGTCTCGCCCCTTGAGAAAGTAGGTATTGCTATTTTACTGATGAAGAGGAGGAGTCAGAAATTACCAGATGTGCCCAAATCACATGTGCAGTGAAATTGGGACTAGAACCTAAGCCTCCTGCTCTGATGCCCTTTTCTCACTTGCCACTTTCCCTCTCTTTCTGTAAAAAAAGAGAGCCCTATGACCGTGTGGCTGTACACACAATTGTAGCTAAGGTGCAGTGATGGACTGACTGGTACAGCTCTCCAGGAGCCAACAAGATGGCTGGCACTACTTTGTGGAGCAGAGTTAAATCCAGTGGTGAAGAATATAGGACTAGAACTCGGAGACCATTCTCTCTCAGGGAGCCCCCATCTCCTAGCATCCACCTTTGGGGGAACCAGTTCCAAGAGGGACTAGCCCCCTCTGCAGATAAGGAAGCTGGAAAGCAGATCAGAACAAAAGCAATCAGGAGGAAACAGGGCTGCAAGTTCTCGATTT